TGTTCACCACAGCAGTAGCCAGGTATTGAACTCACAACTCTTCAGGTCAAGTCAGTGGATCCAACCAACGCTTTTATTCACTGGGTCATGTGTCCTTGAGGATAAGTGTTGGTTGGATCCTGCAGTAGAGAGCAAAAAACTTGAAGAGTTGAGTTAAAGGGAGATAACTGAGACATCCAGAAGAGGCATGGCACATGGAACAAAAACAATCTACCCTGGTGACCGAAATAAAGGGTTCAGTTCAAAATACCAATCACCTGAAGAAGACCAGCACGTACAATGGCCGAAACAATGTGAATATAGCAATAAAAGATGAGGACAACAGTTCGAACAATGTAAATAATGGAAATTTTGTATCGGCATAAAAATAAAATAGTTAAACCTAAAGAATTATAGAAATCCTAGTCACTGATTGAATCTTTTTGTGCTGTTTTTTTTGTTTTTTCAGCTCCCCCCTGACCTTCAAGAACGTGTTAAATGCCACATGACCCGAGAAGAAATCATTAACATGGAGGAGCCACCCCCTTCAAAAGAAACCAAATTAATTCGTGTTCCTATGCAAACTTTTCCCCCAACTGCCATGGTGTACTCAATCAACAACCAGACCGATGTCCACAACAATGACAAGTCAAAAAATGCCACAACAACAGAGACTGTCCCAATGACTCTGATTGCAAAAGTCCTCTCCCATCCAGAACCAACACGCAAACCACGCAAGACTTACATTTGTTTTCGATGCAAACGTGACATAGTGTTGGTCGATCAGGAAGCACAGACCTGTTTGGGCAAAGATAAAGACTCCTCTCTAACCGCTGTGTCTTCAAATCTCCGAGTTCATAAAAGTAATCGGACAAGGTTAAATTCAGCAGAAACTGAAATTTAAGGATTTCTACTATTTATTTAATTTTTGTTTTTTTTTGTTTTTTTTTTTGTTGTGTGTGTGTGTGTGTGTGTGTGTGTACATTTAAGGCGATTGTTCATCTTGGTTGGGTAAAACAAAAGCACCTGGTGAACTTGATGTCTTGAATTACTGTTTTTGATGACAGAAAGAGAGCGAGGGAGCATGTGTGTCATTGTTGTTAACTGTTTGGAAGCAAATTCTTGAGATATCAGTGGGTAAAAAAAAAAAGATAGATACTGTTGGATCTAACATGCAAAATTTCTGTGATGTAGATGCGTTTCTTTTGGATGAAAAATGGAAAATATGGATGATGGGTTACAAACATCTGAGACTTTTATAGCAGATTATTTTTTTTAATGTTTTTATTTGTGTGCGTGTCTGTGTATATATATATATATATATATATATATATATATAGTGGATAGATGTGTCTGAGTAGACATCTCTGGCTATGTATTTTTTTCTAACAGTGCAAATGATTGATATCTACCTGTGTGGGCATTTGAAAGTCTTAACTGTCGAAAGGCAGAATTTTTTTTTTTTTTTTTTTTAAAGACTTTTAAATGTCCAGGTTGATAGATATCATCAGCACTGTTGTGTTTGTTTTGATATTTTTTTCGGGTGGGGATATAAAAATAAATGTCTACTCAAACACATGTATTTGTTAAATACAAGGTTTGGCAGAAATACCTCCCACATAATGGTAAGACATTAACTAGATGAAGACATCTAATGTTTTACCATTATGTGGAAGGTATTACTGTCACACTCTATATAATATTTATGGTTATATATATAATAAATGACTTCAATGAATATTTGAATTATTATGAACAGGCAATTTATTAATAAAGCACATGCTCAATATCAAGAGTTAGACAGAACAGAAGTAAAACCTGGGTTAAAAGTTTTGTCTACTTTTAGTAACCAGTTTTTGTTGTTGTTTGTGACTTTTAATCCAATTATATAAAACAATAACAAACATTGTATTTTCACTGGAAACAAACAGTTGACCCAGGTATTTCTGGAAGATAGTGTCTTTAAGGCGAGCAGTCTTTGTAATTGTAGTGCTTGATATCAAAACATAGAACATTAATAGTAAGTAAATTAAAATGGTCACTTATCTTGTCTCTAGTAAGTTTTTCTTAAATTATATTCATGAGTGGATGCAGTTTCAGCAAAATAAGTAACCATTTAATTTTATTTATTACTAATACACACACACATATACACATGCATGCACACACACACACATATACACATGCATGCACACACACACACATATACACATAAACACACACACATATGTATAATATACCCACATGCACCCCCTGTCACCAAAAACATAATTATTGGTTTATATGTACAAAATGCATGGGTGAAAAAGTTCAATACACTTTCAAAAGCAATTCAATGACCAATCATCAGAATATGAATTTTGGGATGCGGGGTTGAGCTGAGAACTTTTCAGCACCCTCTCTTTTCTTTCTATTCAGAAATAGTAATAACCTGTGTATTTTTGTAAGTACTTAAATTTAAACCAAAAACACAAATTATTTCTTTCCTTTTTTTTTTTTTTTTTCTTCACCTTATCGGTAAGAGTTAACTGATTTAAAGTGTTGATTTTATAAGAAATTTATTTTTTTTTTCCTCACTCCAGTTAGCCAAAATCAGTTCTTCTTTCTCTATTAACCCTTTTAATAGATCTTTGTGATCAAAGGTTCTTTCATTTCTAGCTTTCCCATATTCTTTTTAATAAGAAATTCCATGCCATGACAATTGATTCTTAAAGAAGAAAGAAGGTGAGAGGAGCTTTGAGACTGTGACATTTTTTGATCATTCAAATTTTCTAGTTTCTGCCTTTTTCCTTTTTAAACTGCCAACTAAAGCAAATCTGTTCTGCTGATGAAATACTAAAGATTGCATGTTGGTTTTGACGGGTGTAGCTCTTGAGGCTTGAAAATGACATTCATCGAGTTTGGAAATGACATCAAGAACCTTGACAAATGAATTTTGACATTTACATTCTCTGTTCAGAACTCATGCACTTCATTCAGTTACTTCTAAAATCCATTAGATTCAAATGCTATAAATATTTTCAATTAGCTATTCTGCTATATGTCTGTCTTTTTTTTTTTTTTTTTTTTTTTTTTTTTTTTTGCAATCAGCTAATTTGCATTTTTTAAAAAAATTACTTTTATTTTTAATTTTTTTTTAAACTACTAAATTTTTAAACTTTTTTTTTATTTTAAATTTTTTTTTCTCCCCTCATTTACTTCAGAAACTATTTTTGTTTCTTTGGGGAACATTATTTTTTTTATTTTTACATCCCACCTCTTCTCTTCCAAAAATTATTTTTGTTTGTTAGGGACATTATTTTGTGTTTTCATTTTAATCCCTGCCCTCTAACATACACACACACAATCTTAATTATCTTTATTTTTGGGGGGATTTTATATTTTTCAATTTTATTTATCCCACCACACTCCACAACATTTGGACATTATTTATTTTCTTTTTTTCATATTTTTCGTTTTTTCTTCTTCTTTTTTACAATTTTCATTTTTGTTTTCTCTTCCTTTTTATATTAAAAAAAAAAATAATCACATTATCAAAAACAATTTTCAGAAAGAAAATCTTCCGTATTTTTCATTTTGAGTTTTTGACCATTTTTTTTCAACTTTATTAAAAAAAAATGTTTGGTTTAATATTTTTCAACTTTTTCAAAAGACTGACATGAAGAACATAACATTCTCCAAAGAGTTTAAAACACCAAATCATAAAATAATTAAATTTTTTTTTTTTTTTTTTTACAAGCATATTGCACTGATATTTTTCTAATTTCTATTTTTTTTTTTTTTGATAGGTGTATTACTCAATTTTGTCTTTGAAAATATCTATACTGGCAGCAGCCATGTTTGTCTTGAGAAAGTCTTTCAGACGTCAGCATTTGTTCTTGCAGATCATAGAATATGAGAATTTTTTTTTTTTATTTATTTATTTTTCTTAATGAGAGAAAATGAAAAAGAAGTTTGTTTCCATCACAGGTAATTCTTTAAGATTCACTTTACAATTCGTGTAATTAAACAGGTTGAGACATTTGATAAAGTCTAGGAATTTGGGGACAATAATTGGTTTGACTACTGTTTACCAGGAGACAAATGACGACTTGAAAGAAATATATGGAACAAGCCTAATTGACTAAAAGAGTGAAGCAATCTCATCAAAATATTTTGACAAGTACACCTCAGACCTTGTTGAACAGTCAGTTTGCCATAAACGAATGATGTTACTACTCTATCTATTGTTGTAATTAAGTTGAATACAATTGCTTATTGAAGACAAATCTAGCTCTGAGGTTATGTTATTGAAATTATTAGTTGTTATTTTTAGGTTTTTTTCTTTGTTCAGTCTTTTCCAACACAAATTCACAGCACTCTACATGTGTTTATCAATTCCATTTAGTTGATGATTTTATTCAAGTCATCTTCCTCCATGAACGTGTACCCAGGGAAACAGTAGTCAAACCCAATAATTCAGTATGCAATAATTGGATACCCATGTCGGTGCATCCCAAAATATATTCTCACCAGTCAGCTTTGTAAAAAGTTGGTAAAAGTAATAGTTGACTCTTCAATAAGAAATTAGGGATGTTTGCAACCGTCAAGATGATTGTCAGTTTTTTTTGTTTGTTTTTTGCTTGCTGTTATTAAAAGGTGTGTATGTGAGAGAGAGAGAGACAGGGTGTGTGTCTATGGGTGTGTAAATTCTACAATCTCAAAAAGACTGATATTGTCAAAAGATTTTTTTTCTGAAAGATGTTTAACAATTTGGGACCGATATCTTTGTTTTTTTTTGTTTTTTTTTTCTCTCCCCATGTCATAATCCTAATAATTTATTATGATTGACGTAATTCATCCAATTTTTTGAAACACTTAGAGAAGTGTGATTTAAGGAAAAAACATACATTGTTAAACACTGTATCTTTTCTTAAATGGCACTCTTCTCTAGGTGTAGTTAATATTCTTATTAAGATTGTTAATATTATTTTTTCCTTTTAATTTCTGTTGTTTACACATTTATTATTATTGTTAATATTATTATTATGGTGAGTTTGTGAGAGACAGATATGTTTAAACTGTCATAGATATATACGTCTCCAAAACCCATATATATATATATATATATATATATATATATATATATATTTTTTTTTAAACTTCATAATAATATTATTATTAATTATTAAAGAGTTACGTCAATCATTTTGTTTATTATTATTTATTAGTAATATTATTAATAATAATATTATTATTATTATTATTTGATAATAATATTAATATTATTATTAATAATACTTAAAGAAGTGTGATTTAAAAGAAGTTTGACAATGTTTAACTATTTCAACATGTATATATTTTACACAAGTATAATATGTATGTGTGTATATATATATATATATATATATATATATATATATATATATATATATATATATATAATTTTGAAGAAGACACACTGAACATTGTCAAACACTTTTTTCTTTTTCTTAAATTGCACTCTTCTTCTCGCATTGAAAATTATTGAAAGAATTGCGTCAATCATTTTGTTTATTAATATTATTTGATAATATTAATAATAACCATACATAAAGAAGTGTGATTTAAGAAAACGTGTTTGACAATGTTCAACAATATTTCAACAAGCGTGTGTGTGTGTGTGTGTATGTATGTATATATATATATATATATATATATATATATATATACATATATACTTATATGCAATTTTAAAGACATTGTTGAACATTGTCAAACACTTTCTTTTCTTAAGTTGCACTCTTCTCTAAGCGTTGAAAATTATTGGAAGAGTTATGCCAATCATCTTGTTTATTATTATTATTAATAATAATAATTGTTGTAACCTAGGGAATGTTACTGAATAAAATAATCAAACAAAGGTTGGTAATGAACAATAATACT